AGGCAAAGTAAGCAACCATTCTCGTGCATTATGACTACTCGATACTATCTCTGTATTATTCTCGTCGCTGAAGTAATGAGGGACCTGTCCCCGCTTGTCGTATGGGAGGGGTCAGACTTGCTTTTTCTCTTAATTTGCCTTCCTAATTGTCACCCTTTTCGCCTTTACCTTCCTTGATAGGAGCTATATATCGATAAGGAGGACGGAACGGTAGGCCTGACCTCACCTAAGCGATCAGAGTACAGCGTCTTTGAATGGGCTACTCCCTTCTCTTCCAACGAATCAAATGCATAAAGCGGGTCCACGCCGACCGTATGGAGAAGGTTAGGCCTGCCATTTTTCCTTCCTAGTTGGCAGGTCCTTCTTTTCCTTTCTGGATAAGAGCGGTGCATCAACGATGAAGGAGGCCTGTCTTAGCCCAAGCGATCAGTGTGCAGCTTAGATGGGTCGCCCATTTCTTTTCCAACGAATCAGATACTTAAGGGCTGGTCCACGCTGACCGCGTGGGCGGAATCAGGCCTGCTGTTTTATACTCATTATCGTCAGAACGGAGTAGGCGTGGCACTTGGCATAGGGTGGGTTACTCGTGTGGTATTTCAATTTGAGACAGCTTTCAGGCGCAGTCCGGCGACGGGAGGGGCATTTTGCACTTTCACTGCTTCACTAGTTCCGGTTTACAAGTCTCACTCTGGTAAAACTTGTGAACTCTTGTGAAGCTGGAGCAAGCTCGTCTAGCCACCATCCTAAAACGTGTCAACTCGAGAAAAGGCTGGGTCGACACATCGATGGAAAGCAAAATGCCCCTCCCCTCCCGTCGCCGAACAGCTCTTCCAAAATCGAAATATTCCGTGAAAAGCTTAGCCGCTGCCACTTTCAATATAAGTACGCAGCGACGCCTAACGCATGTCTGGGCTTTCGAGTACACCTATCTGATTGACGCGTCCTTCCTGTTCACCTTCTGTGGCTTGATCAGTATGTGTGGGCCCAGACAGTAAGCTCTGAGCCCCGCGTCATTACCTACGAATTTGACTTGCAGACATACAAAACATGTTCACTGAACAGAACACACGGGTTTTTTTCTGCGCACTAAAACGCTGTGTTATGGGCAGAACGCTTGGTCTCAGCCGGAACTCAATCGAATTCGATTCCCGCTTCAGGCAGTGGTTTTTGAGCGCAGTTCTGCGACGGGAGGGGCATTTTGCTTTTTCGCTGCTTCATTAGTTCCGGTTTACAAATTCATTCTGGTGAAACCTGTGAACTCTTGTAAAGCTGGAATAAGCTCCTAGAGCCAGCCTTGTGAATAGTTTTTGAATGGTATTCCATTGCATTACAAGAGTTGACAGGTACTTGCCACAGGATTTGAAAGGTGGTCTCTACAAATTTTAGCTATCATTTAGTGGCTTCACAGAATTTCACAGGTCTGAAGTTGATGGTTCGACTTGACGAGAAGCAGCAAAAGTGCAAAATGCCCCTCCCCTTCCCGTCGCCGAACTGTGCCTGAATCATTTCTGTAACTGATCATATTTGAGGTAACTTCCGCATAGCGAATTGTAGCAGGAGACAGCAGCTATCCCAGCTAAACAAATCAAAAACAAAACACAAATTTCGTTTTTATTCAGTAATTGGGGTGCGTGCACGTGGGTATTAGGTGATAAGTGATAGGTAGATGATAAACAGCATGTAGCATTAAAAGTCAGAGTGATGGAATAATTAGGTAGCGCAGTGGCAAAAAAGGCGTTGTTTTTCATGGGCTCTGTTGAATAAGGTGGCGCAGTTCGACTTGGGGGGGGCGTCTTACTTTTTTGCTACTTGCTATCGACACAACGGGTCCAGCCATCAAGGAGACCTGGGAAATTTTGTGAACGTATGAAGCGATACCATTCAAAGTTCATAAGAACTAGTGGTCAACTCCTTGTAAGAATAGCTGTCAGATCTACAGCGGCAATCAGTGCGACGCAAATGCCCCCCCCCCTCCCAACCGAAACGACTCGAATTTCTATTAGCAGTACCCGGACAGCTATAGACGGAATTCTTGCGTCGTTATCGCAGTTTTCTTCCGAATACAAAAACAAAAGGCTTTCAGATAGCTTGATGATTAATGAAACCGCTGCTAAAAAACGGAAGATATTCGCGCCCATGTCCATGGAAATCGTCCTGTGGTGATTTTTATGCATTTTGAAATCGGTTTTTGTTTAGTGCTTTTAATTCCAAATAGTCGCCGTTCCTGGAAATGCAGCTATTTTGGGCTCTTGCTGCTCCAGCTAAGTTCGATGCAAGGGGAAGCAGTTTCAACTGCCGATGGGGCGAGTCATGGTGCTCCTGATGGGATCGGGGAAAGTACTGAATTGAGGGCTACTCCGAGTCCACGACTTCAAAGAGACAGTCAGGTAGCATTCGTCAGACTGTAAATAATAACTGTCAGTACGACCCCCGTTCAGGAGGGGCTCAGGTGATGCTCATCACCAAGCCGCCCAACATTTTACCCAGCTTGAAGTTCCAGCGAAAACGACGCTGTCCCTTTCAATAGTGACTAATACGACTCCCCTCACAGTCTCCGATAGTCTCCTGATAGGGCTCCCAAAACGATGATTTACTCTACCAGGAGCAGATGATGAAGCGTTCACTTTCAGCACGGATCGGCAATTGCACAAGGCGCGCGAGGAATGGTTCAGTTTGTGACGCAGTATCAACATGCAGATGGTAGAAAGAGGATTCGTGTCACGACCACCTGCAGATCCTGGGCCGACATGGCCACCCAACAACCCAATATAGCCTATGGTTTTGATCAGGTGAGCGACATTATTGTATGGGTCGATTTGTTGGCGAGCTGACGATGTTGCAGCTCTGCTACGTTTTTTTTTTTCTGGAGCTTGAAATATCTTCACTGATGTCGAAAATCTTATGCTAGCACTTTTCAACGGAGAAGGCTTAGCTGTTTTGGGAATCCATTAGTTTTATGAGGGTGCGACGGATTACGTCTAGTCTGCTTGTGACGTTCCAGTCCTGCTCTTGATGAGGACATCAAGCGTTTCTAATCGCAAAATCTGGATATAGTTTTTGCTGAGAACCATGGGTTTCCGCATGGAGATAAGCGGATCAGATTAAGCTTACTTATGACGCTCTAATCTTGCGCTGGATGAGGGTGTAGGGTCGATTGGTTGAGTACTTGGTGGACTACTAGTTAATGTTCCATTGAAACACACTTATAGCATAAAGGCTTGAGAGTTTTTAAATTCTTACCCTTTAACACCCTGTTTCTCAAAAGCTGAGAAAGTTTGCCATGGAAACCTGTCCCTAGGGATAAATTTCGATGAAAAGCTAGCCTGAATTTCAAAAAGGGAGCTGTACAGCGTAAAGGTTGGGGGGAGGGATTCTCTGGGGATTGTTCAGTACCATGAGTTAGACCATGGAGTTTATGAAAAAACATGAACGAATTTGAATAATATATTCCTTGTTGTGGTATCGCGGCAGTAGCAGCTTGGCGTCATACGAGCTATCCCCAGAGATAACTGGGCTATCACCAATCAGCTCTAGAGAACTGAAGTCCGACTTTACAGGGCATAGACCCAGTCTTCGCTGCGGAGACTGGGACTTTCAGGGGGCAGGATTCGGCGCGGCTCCTACCCATTCTTCACCAATTTTTGAAGCGAGCAAGCGACAACGATCGGTGAAAAACGTGCTGGCGCCCTGCCAAACCCAGTCACCCAACATCAGAAGAGAACGCAGACTCCTGTTATGCTAACAGCCGTCCGCGCGGCGCGTGTCGCGCGCAGCGCTCTTGGCACTTTGCCAAGTCCTGTAATTGCGCTTTGGAATACAAGTAAAACGCAATTTCCTGATGCGGATAACATTTGAGGTGCTGCAAAATAAGAACCTGAAGATGATGACGAGGGCTAGAACTCAAAAGGCGGCTGTGCTGCTTCTGCAATATCCCTCGAGGCCGCGCATTCCACAGAAACTGAAATTAAAAACGCCCCCTCGTTAGTTAATACAGCAAAAAGCAGTTCCTGAATCCAAGAATAACATTTGAGGTGTTGCTCATGCTGCAAAGTCCGAATAGAAGGTGATGAAGATGACAAAGGCTAGAAATGAAGAACAACGAATGTAGATGTAAATAAAACAAATGAAAAAATTAAGGAAATGCAAATTAATTGAAATCGCGTGTAAATTCCTGCGATTCGGCGCGATTCCGGCTCCAAAGCCATAAAAATACTTAAACTAACGAGTGGGACGCTTAGGCCGTTTTTATTTTCATGTTTTGTGGGAATGCGCGGCCTCCGAGGGATATTGCAGAAGCAGCACAGTTGCTCTTGAGTTCTGGCCCTCGTCATCATCTTCGGTTCTTATTTTGCAACCAGGGCACAGCATCGTTGTGTGAAACACATGGGGGGTCGTACTTTTGCTCTGGGGAGGGGGTCGTATTTGGGGTAAGACAAATTTATTTTGATAGTTGATTTTTTCTTGTGGAAAAAGGGGGTCGTATTAATTTTTTTTTATATGCATTATATGCACCCCCCCCCTCCCCTCGTACTCACACCGACATTTCGCCTATCCCTATGCTGTACCCTGTTTGCAACACCTCAAATGTTATCCGCATCAGGAAATTGCGTTTTACTTGTATTCCAAAGCGCAATTACAGGACTTGGCAAAGTGCCAAGAGCGCTGCGCGCGACACGCGCCGCGCGGACGGCTGTTAGCATAAACGGGAGTCTGCGCCGCAAAAGGCATTGGGCGGAGCATGGAGGAATTAGCGTGTTTCACGGTCCTGTATCTCCATTCCTGCGCATGTTAGGACGGGGAAACCGCTACGCTTCGACAGCTGGAGGTGGGGGGCTGATAGTCACGCACACCCAAACTATGTGCGATCGTACCATGTGGCTTTAATTGTCCGATATGGAAGACCGTAGGGTTGATTCCCGGCGTAAACCATTTTTCAGCCTTGAGAATCAGTTTCTCTATGCTTGTGTGTGACCACTTATTATTCATTGAAATTAATCTGAATGAATGTTGTTATTCAGGAAGCTGGTGCTGTAGCCATAGCCCGTTTAGCATCGTGGAGAGCCACCAATGAGAATGACACTCCAGAAGCGCTCAGATGGCTTGACCGAACGCTCATTAGATTGGTAGGTAACGCCTCAAGAGACTGTATTAGTGTTTCCAAATATCAGTAATTCAGTGTCAAAAATTCGGCGAGTATGCTAAAGACGATCCCAATTCGTTCCGACTATCGGATAAGTTCTCGCTGTTCCCACAATTCATGTTCCATTTGAGAAGATCACAGTTCCTACAGGTGTTCAACAACTCGCCAGATGAAACAGCATATTATAGGTCAGTTTATACCTGGATTATACGTTGGGGAGTAGCAGAGCCAGAAGGTATCTGTAGTAACTTTTAAGGGTCTCCAGTAATCCCTAGTAACTTTGACAAAGTCCCTACTTTGAAGGCATTTCAGCAGCATTCCGCGATAATCTGATATGCGAAGACTTGACACCATTGTGCTTTTCTCACTGGAGCGTCTCCTCCTCTATTGAAGGGGTGGAGCTCCGGTGAGGAATGTACTATGGTTATGAGTCCTCGCCCAACTGCGAAAGGAATCTGAGGTAACCTTCTACGTTACCAGACGCATGACTTGAGGGCCCACTCTGCTATAATCTGGCTAGCACAGAGATAGACGACGACTGGTCACCTTTGTGCTTTCCTCATTGGCGCGTCCTATTCGAAGTATGTGGACAAACGGCGCACCAGTAGGGAGGCGCAGTAGTTATAGATCTCCGCCCATCAATTT